CTCCGCAGCCATTCACCGTGGCGCGGCACACAGCGATCTCGGCCGTGTCGAGCACCAGCAGGCAGTGAGCGCTGCTCTGACGCCGTGCCCAAACCTGGGGCTGTGCTCGCTGCTGTGTGCAGGGGCGGTTCCAGCAGCTCCCCCTCGGTGAGCACCGGCTGCTGACACCTGTAATCCCATCCCGTTGGGAGAGCTTGTCAAGGAGAGCCCGCTGGAGCGGCCTCTGCTCCTCTAAACCTCTTAGCTGGGAGCTCGCAGAGATGCAGGACCAGCCACAGGGCGGGCTAGGGAGGAGACGCATTTCAGGGCACAGCAAATAGCCTTAGCACAGTTACCAGCTGTGTTACCCCTAGGAAAATGGTTATTGTGAAACAAATCTGGTTAGTGTTCCTTCCCTGGGTCCTGTGCCTTGTCCCGTATGGACACTTGGCTGCTAGTGACAGTTGCCCTCAGGAGTCCTGAGAGCAGGGTTTATTGCCCGCTTCCAGACAGACCTCAGGCTTGGTCCATGCGACCGCTGCGGCAGAGGAGGAACGCCGGGCACGCTGAGGATGCCTGCCAGCTCTTGGGATTATCTAGCGATCATTTGTCTGCAGCTTCTTTAGCCTCTCTACTCTTCTTGGAAGCAAGAACCTTTTGCTGTGAAGCAGTGACACAGCTGTCTCTGCACGGAGATGATTTTGAAAGCCTGCTTTCCACTCTTGCAAAGCATGAACTGCCAAAACAGTGAAAAATGACTGTTTTGTTGGGGAAACCCTTTGGCTTCAGTGAACTCAGATGAGGCCTCAAGCTGTTTTTCTAATGCATTGTGTTCACACATTGCTCCCATGAAGATGAAATGCAAACTTAGCAAAATTACAGAGCCACTTTTTTTTTTTTTTTTTATTGGACCAGCTCTAAACCACATTTCACTAGGTCTCCATTCCTTCCAGATGATGCCTTGTATGTCAAATGTCAGCTAAAGATGTGGTTTGTGTAAAAATTACTCCCAAGTTGGATAGCTCAGCCCCTTGTCCTGCAGAAGCATCATTAGTATGGGCAGAAGCAGCAGCTTGGGAGAGCTCTGCTGTGCAGAGCCTGTTCTGGTGGGCTGGAGGCTGGAGAGGTCCTTTTGGTGGCCATCATCTATGGCTCTTAACTGGAAGTGGTGGAAATTAGCTGTTGTACTGGCCCTTCTTTTGGTGTGTGGAAGGAAAAGACGTTCTGGATTATCTTCCCCTGTGTCCATGACAAGGGAAGGTGTGAAGGGTGCAAGTGGAGTCTTCTAGTGGAGTTGGGCAAAGAGCTCCTCTCACTGAAGTTGGAGCTTGGTGGGTGTTTACATTGGCAAGGGTTAGTAACCACTATTGGGCTTGTCCCACCCAATGGTTTTGGAATTGGGGACTTCCATCAAATGCTACTGATACCTCATCAAGACAACACACGAACAAATAAACCAAGCAAGGGCATTTAATTGCTGTCAAGTGCTGTCCCTAGGACATCGCGTGTGCTTCCAACAGCTCCATCGCTGCTAATCATGGGTCATACCAAACTGAAGTGTAAAAACTCTCTTGCCCTGAAATTGGTAGGGTTCATCTCTAGATGTACACGGGCCTTGGAATGAGCCTCTCTGAGCCCATGGACTTTTTGTTTCCTTCAAGTGTTTCTTTAATTTACAGTAACAGTTGCCCTGGAGCTCTCATCACCTCAATCCCAGTCCAGAAATGGTGCAATGTGATTTCCTCATGTAGCCGCTGTGCTGTGAGGTCTTTATCGTCACTATTTCCTGTTGACTCAAATTCTCTTTCTTACTTTTGCCAGCGTCAAACAGAGATAATAGATTAGGGAAAACTTTTGCGCATTGCAAAATACAAAACAAGTGTGAGGATTTCAGCATTAAGCCCTACCTGAAGCACTTCAACTTTCAGCTCCTAATTCCTGTTTGGAGTGGCCAAGACAGGGGACACACAATTCTCTTAAATTACCACTCGAGGGGGTTCCCAAGAGACCAGCTATCAGCTGCCACCTTAAATCAGAGCTAGCCTGGGTCTCGTCTTGCTTGTGCTCAGAGCACCTGGGCCTGGGGAAACTGGTGGAGTCAGGTCAAACATACAAGTAGCTGAACTCTCTGCTATTTTGAGATTTCCCTTTCCTGCCCTCTTTTTATGTTATTTTTTTCTTTTACTTTGTACTGCCTTTTTTATTATTATTATTTTTCATAAAATATCACTGTTTGAAAAGCCTATCTTAGCAGTTCTTAGAAGAGGGGTTGATCTTTGCAGTCTGGCAAGCTGGTGACCTGGCGTAGGAATGAAAATGTAAAATGTTGCTTTTGTTCTCAGTTCCTGGTCCCCAGTGGACAGTCATTGGCACTGATCTGCCTAATATTTGCTTCCAGGTGCGTAGGAGGCCCCATTTGAGGCCACAAATGTTCTGTTTTGAAGAACTCGTGATATTCATCCTGTTCTTTTCCTCAGTAACCTCTCTGGTTTTCTGTGTTTTAGTAAATTAGATAGACAATTAACTGGACCAAAAGAAAAAAGAAAAGGAGGAGGAGAGAGAATTAATTTGGCAAGGCAAAAGTTCTATTAAGCCTATCTGGGAGAGCTTCAGCAATTAAATAATCCCTATTTGTGTTTGACCTGTGAGTGAGCCCATGGGTGGAGGCGAGTCCTTAGCTGTTGCGTTTGTGACCGCAGCGTGTACACACACAGCGATACTCGTGCAGGTTTGCAGCTAGTCTGAAGCAAGAGCTGTGTCTGTTGCAAAAAGCTGTTAATTCAGGTAGATGTAATTCAGCAGGGATGCGCATTTCAGCATGGGCTGTTTGGGTACTCGCCTACACATTTGAGAAAGAAGAGGAATTACTCTCCTTTAGACATAGCATACTAGTCCATCCAGAAGTCTGAGAAGGGCCATGGAGTCTTGCCAGCACTGGAGGAACAGGACCTGTATGTTTTACGAGAGGAAGGATTAATTTTGTTTCCCCGAAGCTCCCCTTTAAGGAAAGAGTGGAAAATATATGTTCTTAACTGTATGCATGGGAAAATATATGTTCTTAAATGTATGCATGTTTATACAAGCATATACAGTACTTGCATAAATACACACGCTGCCTTGTCAAGTTGCTGGTAAATTAACTGACTTCCTGCACAAGGCCTGGCAGGAGGGATTTCTTTAAGTTGAGGCTTGAGCAGGCCAAGCTGGGCTAGATAAGCACGTGGCACGAGGTGAGCTCCTCGGAAGGAGGCGGCAGGGAAGAAGGAAGCACCGGGAAAGCCGGCCGGACCGGCAGGGCAGGGGCTGCAGCGAGGGCGGCTGCAGAGCGGGCGGGCGCAGTGCGGCCCCGTGCGCTGCTCCCATCGCGGAATCCGCTCCTCCAGCTGGCCTGTGTGTCCGTAAACTGCCCTGAAACGGGGCAGGGTGGAACAAAGGAGTATTGTTCTTGTCTGTGGATTGGGAATAGCCTTAGCACAAAGCCTTGGTGCTAACCCCGCAGCAGGATTTTTAGTTTGCTGGGAATGCGCCTGCCTTAGCTGTGCCTCTTCTGGAAGGGGCCCAAGAGATGAGGGTTACCGGAGCCCTGAGTGGGCTAAGAGCAGCGTTGTCCTCCTCTGTCATGACCCGTTTGCTTTGCTGCTGTAGCCAGAGAAGAATGTGAGGATTCCTGGTTGCTTTTCTTCTGCTCCGTGCATCTCGAGATGTTAACAGCAGCTGTCATTTCGAGCTGGCCGGCTGCCAGAGCGTGGAGACCAGCTCTGATTATCTGCTTAAATTTAGAGAAGGTTAAAACTTCAGTGTGCAGATGATTAATATCAGCTCTGGGAAGGGGACTGAAGGTGGAGAGGGGAGAGAAGGGCAAATAGTAGCACTAAAAGGCTGGCTGCTCTCAAGTGAATTGTCTGCCTGTTTTCCAGTCTGCTTGTTCCTAGTATTATTCAGTAAAACCAAAACATTAAGTACTGCATGTACTGAAGCATTATACTAAAGGGGAAGTTCAGATTCAGTTGAAAGCAATCTTAGGGGCTAGTTTTATGTCAAAATATCACGTATCCTCCCTTATAAGTAAGATATCCTCCCTTATCAGTAAGAAAGTCCCCTTTTTGCACAAGTTCAACTTGCGCTGGGGTATCCAGACTATAGAATGTGCAGTTTATGCCAGTGTATCCCCACCTGTAGACTTTTGCATTAACCAGAGCGAAGGAGGAAAAAAAAAAACCCGGGTATCAGCAGCTGTGGTTAATGAACTGAGCTTTGCTGCTCAGCTGCTGGTCTGCCCAGCAGAAACTTGGGTATATATTCTGTCCTCATCAATGTCTTTATCACACAACGGTCTTCAGATCACTCAGAACTGGGCGGAAAGCTGAGATCCAGAAGTCTGAAAGGCAGTTGCCATGCAAGGGTATGGCTGGAGATCCCATTCTGCAAAACAAGGTGGATTTTCTGGAGAACAGAGATTAGGGATAGCCTTAGCTCGTGTCCGAAGGACGTGCTGAGCCCAGGTTTCTGTGTGCGGGTTTGCACTGCTTTGGCTGCAGGATGGTACCTGTGCCCACTCGTGAGCTCCTCTAGCACAAGGGGAGGTTTGAGACACCTTAGGAATTTCCTCCTTGAGAAAAGGCAGTGTTTAGTGGAGAGTAAACCCCTTCCTACAGCTTTCTCTTGTGACTGCTCAGAGGTGCTCATGGAGAGATGTTATCCCCTGTGGCACTCAGGCCAAGGGCAGTCCAGGAAATCCTCCGGGAGCTGGACACTGCTAAGCCCATCCCTGCTGGGATTCTCCCCCTGCATGTGAGCAGCATTTCATAGGAACTGGGCAAAATTCTGGGAGGCAAGAGACCACGAGGAGCAACTGACAGATCTCCCTGCCTCTGCTCCTAGAAAAATCAGGCTTTTTCCCCATTATCTGGTGGGTGCTTCGTCTGTTTTTATTTGGGAAGTAACTGTGTTAGAAGTTATGAGAAGTAATGTATGCTAGAGGATTAACGCTGTTCGTATCTGTTGTGTTTGCGTGTGTGAAGGATCGCCTGTTCTTTGTCATGGAGTTCGTAAATGGCGGGGACTTGATGTTCCATATTCAGAAGTCGCGTCGCTTCGATGAAGATCGGGCCCGCTTCTATGCTGCAGAAATTATTTCAGCCCTTATGTTCCTCCATGAAAGAGGCATCATTTATCGGTGAGCTCTGAATTCATTCATTCTCTTTGTCTGAACCTCACGGCTGAGGCGGTAGCTTGAGTTTTCCGCTGGGGGAAATACCTGTCACTTGCTGCCCACCAGGAACACGTTGTCAGATGGGATAACAGCGCCAACACTTTCCCACTTCAAATTGTCAAAGGTGCATCCAGCTGCCAGGAGGGAGTCAACCAGTGCCTGCACTGTTGGCTGCAGGGAGGGTTTTCTGTGATGCATGTGCAAACAGGGAGAAAAACAGGGTTTTGCTTCCAAGGCACGCGGGCTAGATGATGTGCTGATGTCAATTCACGGAACTCTGCTGATTTAGCTGCTTGACATCAGTCCCAAAGCCACCCTTTAGACCGCTCATCAGCGGAGGGCTGCCTGGCTGCTGGTGCTCCCTGCTGAGAGACAGAAGCCTCCCCAGTGCTATGTTGGGCCTGCCCTGCTGCAGAGCCCACGTCAGAGCGATGACAAAGTGGGAGGCATTAAGGGACACCTTGCTAGACCGCCCGAGAGGTAAGTACAAGGGGCTGCTGCCTGGCTGCTCTACATCTTGTTATTTAAAGGCCAATCTGTGCTGGTTGCACCCTGCCCTTTTGGTCCCCTGTATTAGCTACAGGGCTGTGTTCAAACACTCTTGGTTTCATGTACCTGTGCAGTACCACACAGCTGCTGAATGTGTTTTCCTTCCTGCCGTGATCCTACAGCAAGAGCTTTTTCTTCCTGTCCACAGCTGCGTTTGGCACCTTGGGGTTTGCAGCAGAATCCGAGCGTTATCGCTTCCGTGCGGCAGCCTCTGCTCCCAGGCTGGAGTTATGGCTGCTCCCAGGGAGCTGTTTTTCCCATACTTAGCACTGCTGTTTTGTCCTTCTTCAGTACCCAGGGGGACAGTTTGGTCCTCTGTGTTCCCTTCTGTGCGTCCAAGGGCTCTGCTGGCCGTGCAGGCATCACAGTGTGGGGCAACCAGCAGCCGCTCTGCTCTGCGCTGGCCTCTCTGACCAAGGGGACGATTCCCCACCTCCCTGGGCACAAACCACGGGCCAGACCAAGGCCTCTTCTGGGGCAGAGCGGAACAACTTGAGCACAGAAGCTTCAGGCAACCTGCTTAAACAGAAAGGGCTCTCTTGGATGCACTTTGCAGAATGCTGAGGGCATCTCCTTGCCCAGGGCTTTAGAAAGGAGGACCACTCAGTATTTCTTAGTTGGGTTACGCGTAATTTAGGCCCTGCTCAGTCCTACTTGTAGCATGCTAGCACTGCAATAAATAATATCAACTCTCTCCCTTTACTGCTTTTAACATTTGTACACCTGGAACCCGTGATGGGATCCAGCATGGGAGTCAGTCTCTGTTAATGCCATTTCATACCATGGGTTTGACCGAATTATGTTTGAATTTGGGCTTTACTTAGCTGAGCCCGGATGGTGCTGCTCTGTGTTTGGTAGTGTATCTTGCCTCATCAGATAAAGCCAGGATCAAAATCTGGATTTAAAACCCAGAGAGTTAAACTGGCCAAAGGGCTGGGCCCTGTGCTGGGGCACTTTCCACATGGTGAGATTATATGGTGATGATCCATGTGGTGATGAGCCAAGTAAAAGCAACATCCTTCTTTTTCTAGCTGGAGCTCCAATAAAAACAGATTGCCAGGTGCAGAGAGAGAGAACATTGCACTATTTAAGTATGAAATCATAAGATATATGTGGCACAGTGAAAAACAGAAGGAATGTCATTATAATGATATTCTCTGGGTCCCGAAAGTAAGAAAATTACCAGTGATCCACACTGTATGTGCTGAGCTTCTAAAGCATCCTGCCTGTCTGCACAGAATAGCAAATCTGCTTACTCTGCAGCTGGATTTCGGTCTAATTCTTCCCCTGTGAATAATGCCAGCCTCTGAAGAGAGGCCCTGCTGGATAAGGACACTAATGACGGCGCCCTGAAAATAGGGACATCCAGTAGTTATCGTCAATCATCAGCAGCGAGGTTGTGTCCGTGCACGATGTTATGCTGCTGTGCTTGCAGCCCGTCCCGCGTCCTGCTGCATGTCACCGGGTAATGAATCTCTCTGCATCTTTGCCCCTGTTCAAGTACTGCTGCAATCCATGATAGAAAGTGGAGGAGTAACTGAAAAGCTCCTTGGACAACCCAAGGAGCTCATTGAACTGTGCAGTCAGGTAGCTCCAGCTGCACAAAGTGGACTTGGATTCGCTTAGAGTAGTCGGGGTGATTCCGTTTTGGAAGATACAAAGCTGCAGGTTGGGGTGGGATTGTTTCTGTCGGGTTGCAAACACCAGGCCTTGCAACAGTGTGTGAGACAACAGGATTCGTAGAGGAGTTTTATCCCTTTATTCCTTTTACTGCCACGCATACCTAGTTTGCAAGAGCTTTGGGCAGCATTCTGCATTAGCCACTGTGAATCCATGAGCATGGTGCTCCTTGGGCAGGTGGGGTATTTTACTCAACTGTGACTTTTTAAAATGAAAACCAGGCTCCCTGCTGGACTGGTGCTCTTGAAGGATGCTTTTCATGATACAGCTGAATTTTCCACTGGTTGCTTCTCCTTTGGATGCTGTCATTGGATGAAAGTCTGCTTTTCCTTACTAAGCCCTGGCCAGAGTGGAAGCCCTGCAGATGTGTGTGAGCATATTGGGGGTTTCCAAAGATGCATTTTCCATTTCACCATGTTTTTCTTTATTTATTTACTTATTCACTTATTTTTATTTGCAACACTGTAAAGGAGGGTTGGCTTTATGGCCCCATCAAAGAAACATCTCTGACCTGCCCTCAGCTGAGCTTTAGCTGTGAACTCAGTGCCACTTATTTATAGTTGCTTCCTATAAAAACATGTTGACGAGTATAGTGCACTTCCATATCCTGTCATACAGGGGGCAAAACTAGAATGAATGCAGCTGTGAAGACAAGCTTTTCAACATGTCAAATTGCAGTATATTTTACACCCCTGGTCACAGAGGGTAGCACAAGGATCTGTTTGGGATCAGCTTGTGTTGGATGTTGCCAGAAAAAGGTGAGGTGATACTCAAAGCTATTGTAGGTGAAACCTTTGCTCCCAGGGCGGTGTTCTTGCATCGCTGCTTTCTTTAAGCTTACATGTAAAGGCAAACAGGGTGCTGGGTCCCACTGCAGGCAGGTAGGTTTGTGTGCAGCTTTTATGTGAATTCTGCGTTAATGGGAAGGGCAGTTTTGTTCAAGGCAGTTCATCCCAGGTTTCACTTCCCAGTTCAGCAGTTCCCAGGTAGGGAAGCGTGTTTTGCCTGCTGGAAACAAGCCAAAACAGAAGCAGCGTGTGCATCTGGACTGTGCTGAGGGCTGCCCTGGCAGCAATCCCTCTTCTCACCTTCTAAAGACAAAGACATCACAAATAACGATAAGGGTTTATCTTAAAAGCAGTTTTCTTCATGCAGTGTCACTGTAGGAATGACTGATCTGCCTCGCTGTCCCCAGCTCAGGCTCAAACCTTTGGGGTGGTTGGGGTGTAGCTTTGCTGGTGGCTCAGTTCTCTTTCCCAAGTTACTTATGTGGTGCCCCTGAATAAAAGCATCAGATCTATGTACAGAGGGCAAATGCAAACATATTCCTAAAAGTGGACGTTTTTTGAAGGTTGGGATGGGAGAAGTTGTGGCAGGAATCCATGTGAGGAAGAACTGCTTTCCTGTGAGCGTGCCAGAGCCCTGGAAAAGGCTGCCCAGAGAGGCTGTGGAGGCCCCTTCTCTGGAGATCTTCCAAACTCCCCTGGATGCCACCCTGTGCCCCGTGCTGGAGCGGGGGCTTGGACTAGATGATCTCTAGAGGTCCCTTCCAACCCCAACCGTTCTGGGATTCTGGGAGTCTGCCATAGAGGACATTTCACTTGCAGAAAGAGAACAGCCTTTTCAGGTGCAACACAGAGCACTCAACCCAACCTGGCGGCACAGTCTTGATTTTCATAACAACCCTCCCTTCTTCCCTTCAAGAATGCACATCAGTGGGGCACGAGGCAGGGCTCCTTTCCAGAACACGTCCCTGCTGCCCATGGAGGTGGCACAGCAGGCAGTCCGTGCGACACAACTGAGCTGGCCTTAGCTCAGCTGTGTCTGGGGCTGAGTGTCACCTCTGCAGCCCGTGCAGGACTGTGCAGCAGAGCCCTGGGGCGCAGCTCGGCACGGTGCAGTGGCAGCTACAGCATGAAGAGCTGATTAAGAGCTAAAGAAGCTAAAGGGTTGGGATGGAAATGCTAGGGAGAGAAGGACTAGTCACTAGATGAATTAGAAACCTTGTTTTATTCCGAGGGCTCGTGCTCGCTGGCTTATTCCACTGCCATTGTGTACAGATGCACCTTCTCCTGTGAATTCTGGAAAGACTGTTGTTCCAGAGCCTGGGCTCTGGAATCGTTGCCTTGGTTCAGGAGACCCCTCAGGGCTGCAGCTCTGTGTCCCATGGCTCTGGGCTTCTACAGAGCATGACTTTTTTTTTTTTTTTTTTTTTTTTTGGCACTTTTTTTTTTCCCTGCCAGTTCAAACAGCAAGCCTGTGACATGTGGAGAAAGGTTTACATAAGCCTGTTAAGGAGATCAGTTTTGCCAGAAAGATTCGTATTAACAGAGTCAATAGTAAAGCTCCCTTCAGCTAAATCGATTAAAAATTACGTGCTGGAAACAGAAGCTGAATGCATTTCGGAATTACATAGAGTCAATGTTAACGGAGCAACTCTTACTAGTGTGGTATTCACTTTGTCCAAAGGTCAAGACATGGATTCTCCTTGCACATTGTGACTTTTTTGGGGTTTATTTTGGAGATTTTTTTGGTCTTTTTTTTTTTTTTTTAATTCTCATCTGCTGTTGCCCTTTTCCATGTCTGGAGCCAGACGTTGTTTCCCTGAAGCCGAGCGCTCTTTCCGCAGGGAGGGAGGCCGGCAGTCGGCTGGAGCTGCTGCTGCTGCCCACCAAGGCTGATTTGGCTGCTCTGTGGGGATCCCCCTTGCTGTGCTGAGGTGCTGCCCATAGCTT